AGAAGATTTTTTAATCTAGCAGTTAATTGGAAAGATTCTCACCCTGACTAACTATATATACTGATACCTGTGAACTAAGCAACTGCACTGCAGATGGTAATCTGTAATAGTAGTTTCATGCTTGGAGAGCCTGTCATTCTGGTCTTCTGAATACGGGCTGCTTGTCATGACATGCCAGTTGTTGCTGTGCTATCGCTCTGGTAGATGATTGTTCAAAAAGAAGGGGATGGGGAATGAAGGCAAGAGACAGGAAAAGGAATATAGGGGGACTGTCCTGCTTCAAAGTTGTATATGGTTAGATATTTGGACTTACGTGTAAACATAAGAAGTATATAATTCTTTATGCCTATTTTAAAAAATATATTCTAATTTTTAAATGTTTTTTCATCATTTTCTATAGGGACTTAAAGTTCAACATACCAATACTTGATGAAAAATACCTGTTCCATGTTATTCCTAAGATGTTTGATTTTCAGACAGACAGTGAGGTTAAGCTTAACAGCCTAGGTTGTATGGTGATAACAATAAGCTTGTCTTCTGGATGGTTAACAACCTAAGTTTGTAGACCAAAATTAGAGAAAAGGGAGGGCCGCAAGGAAAGCCAACATTTTGGCGCTAGCCTTCCAAGGTCAATTAAGACTCAGGACATATGAGAACTTGTACTGTAGCGTCATGTACCGCGGGACATACAAAGAAGAGGAACAAGTTAATTGAGACCATGGGAGGAAGAAGTAATAGTGCACATATTTTTAAAAAACTCATGCATTAGACCCAGGAAGATAGCTCAGTGGTCTAAGCGCCTCCCTGGCAAGCTCAAGGGACAGGGTTCGATCCTTGGTGCCGCGTGCTGTGCTAGCCACCCACACTGGGCGTGGCAGTGAACGCGCTGAGACAGGAGGATCACTAGGAATCTGAGCTCCGTAGTGAATCTCTGTACTAAATAAATAGATAAATAAATGATAATAAAAAAGTTGAAGACGCCTACTGTGGACTATGAAAAAGCTCAGTGTTGTGGTGACATGACCATGGGTGTAGTAAGCAACACACAACACTTCAAATCTTTTTTTTTTTTTCTATTATGTATAATGAGTGAGGAGGATACTGTAGTTTTACAGGACAGTGTTTTCAAAAACTTTGTTTTTAAAATATTAATTAAATTTTTTTTGAGACAGGATCTTAATTTAGTTCAGGCTCCCGCCGGACTCACTGTGTGGTCCAGCCTGCCTCAGTCTCATGAGTGCTGTGATAACAGGAGTGCACCACCACGCCCGTCTGGGATAGCGTTTTTATTCTGTGACCACATCAAAACATTTAACTATGACATGTTAAAGTAACACTTATAATATGTTATGATGTCTACAACTTTAAACGATTCGACACAGTTTACTTTGAACAAATTTCACAATACTGTAGCCGTAATACCAACACCGACCGAGTGAGCGATACGAATTGACACATCCTACCGCCCGCCACTGCACGCCGCTCCGCCGGGTCCGTCGGCGCATGCGCACTGGCCCCGCCGCGCGCCCCGCCCCCTCGGGTGTGCGCAGGCGTGGAAGTAGCGGCGCGCAGTCCCGACAGCCCGCGAGAGCCCGCTGAGGCGAGCGGTGGAGTGCTGAGGCGCTGGACGAACTGAGTGGATGGAGCCGCTCAAAGTGGAAAAGTTCACGACCGCGGACAGGGGAAACGGGCTGCGCGCCGTGGCGCAGCTGCGTCCCGGAGAGCTGCTCTTCCGCTCGGATCCCTTGGCGTACACGGTTTGCAAGGGGAGTCGCGGCGTCGTCTGCGATCACTGCCTCATCGGGTAGGTACCGAGCGCGGTCGGGCACTGAGTCCTGGGAAGCGCGGGTCCGGACTGCGGGTTCTGATGGGCGGGCAGCTCGCCGGGCCGGGGCGGCCCCGCAACCCAGCCGCACTGTGGAGAGCCGCCTCCCGCGACGCGTGTGTTCGTGGGGTGGGTGGTGCCGAACAGGCCCCGCCCGGAAGCCCCCCGGAGGAGCGGGACCTGCGATCCCGACTTCTCCACTGGGTAGGGCTTCAGTAGGAAATGGGGAGCCAGACACTGGTCCTTGGGTGATTTTCTTGGGAAACGTCGCTTCTGTGTGGACTGTGCCCCAACTTCGGTGCTACTGCTGTGGAAGTTGTGGAGATTGTAAGTGGCAAAGGTGGGGGTAGGTGCGAAGGAACTGGGATGAGAAGGAATCAGGCTCAGAGCTGATGGATCGGGCTTGCCGACAGTGAGAGAATTTTGTTGTTTACTGTGTACTTTCATGGTCCAGGTTTTGTGGGACATGAAGATGAAGGAGGCGCTGTAAGAAATCTTAAAGGAGCAGATCAAAGAGGGATAGTAGTTACATTGCAACAGAAAGGCTGAACTAGAGGTGCACATAATGTGGTACCATAAAATAAGTTACTGAGGTTTCACAGTTTACTTTCCCTTTTAGTAGTTGTGAAGATAGATCTAACCTTTTTTTTTTTTTTTTCTCCTCAAAGTTGGAATCCTATCTCAACCAAAGTTGCAGGGATCACACGTATGCAATATCACACCCAGTGCAAGTCTAACTTTTAACTAGCTCTCTGGTGTTGAAAATTCATGTGATAATATTTTGGAAGCCTTGGAAGCACAGTGCCAGTGTAAAGTGCTCTGTGATACCAGTTTATGGAAATGTTTAATACCTATACATAGTTATAGGAATTGTATGAAGTTAACAAATATTACTGATCAAATATTGATCTACAGGGGAAAAGTTATGGCCACCTCTCCAACTGGGGGTCTCCCCACTGAGCTACATACCTAACCCTATTTTTATTATGAGACAGGCAGGGTCTCATCATTAGTCTTAGGTGGGACTCGAATTTGGAATCCTCCTGGATTGGCCTGTTAAGTGTGGACGTCACAGGCCTGTCTAGAACTCTTATTTTGAGATGGATGTGATGATTTTGTGTGACTGCTCTTACAAACTTCTTAGTCTGGGTTTAGGTGAGTGGAGGTGGAGCATAATCTGTAGCTTGACCATTAATGTTACTATGTCTTTATTTAGTTCATAATTTATGAATTCATTGTATATACATTAGTTTCCTAGTCATAATTCTGTCTTGCTTTCTGAAGTAATGGTAACAGTCACATTCTCTCTCTCTCTCTCTTTCTCTCTCACACACACTCACACACACATGCACACACATAAATATTTTGAGTAAATACTTCCAATTTTATGTGAACTTTGTGGTTTAATACAGCTTATTCCTTTTAAGATCTGGCTTTTAGCTGGGTATAGTATCACACATCAGTGATTCCAGCACTCTGGGAAACTGAGGCATGTAGATCATGAGTCAAGCCTAACATGAACAAAATTGCAAGGCCTTAGATTCAGTCTTTAGTATGAAGTGGTTGGAGAGGGGTAGACTTGTCTCTTTGTTTAAGATCCCAGCCTTTAAGTTTATTCTTTCAGTACTGTGGACTGAACCCATGACCTTGTTCATGCTAAGCAAGGTCTCTAGTATTTAACTACATCACCAGCCTTTCTAAATTTTTTTTTTCTTCTTGGTTCTGGGGATCCAACTCAGGACCTAGTGCTTGCTAGGCAAGTGTATATGCCTCTGAGCTATCTCCCTGACCCTAAAAATTTTATTTTGAGGTAGGGCCTCACTAAGTTGCTCACGCTGGCTTTGAACTTGAGATCCTCCTGCCTCAGCCTCTGAGTAGTTGGGATTACACATGCTTGTCATCATGCTGTTTAAGGCATATATCTTGGTTCTCATACAGGCAAATTGGAGAAAGCATCTCTTGTTATTCTGTTGCCCTCTTTTAAAGTATATCCAGAGTTTGAATGTAGTACAGAGTAGAATTTACTGTTTTTTAAATCCTATAGCATTACTTTATGGAGAAGATGTAGATCATCTTGTGCATAAAATTAGATTATGATATTATATAGTACCTGGAACAGAAATGTTTTAGAATGAATAAAAAGTGACAAATTACTTATAATAACTGAGTTATCAAATCTGAGCTTGAAGCATATGATACCTGGAATTGCCTATTTTCCAGAACAATATACACAAATCCTTTGTGGATGTGGATGGGAATGCCTCTTGACTTACCATATTATTTCATTGCTTTCTACCACTTTTTTAAAATGTATTTGGTACAGGGTCTCACTGCGCAGTTAGGACTCAGTGATTCTCCTGTTTTCAGCCACCTCAGAGCTGGGATTACGGGTGTGTGCCACCATGCCTGGTCTTGGTGGCCAACTCAGTGCACCTGGGGGCAGGGCTGGCTTGGCATGTGGTGCCCAGGATTGACCCACCCCCACCCCCACCTTTTTAAAGAGCATAATACATTTATTTGCGGAAAGAAAGCTTCTGTCTGAGAGAGGAACATAAGGGGACCTGAGTGGGTTGCCAAAGAATCTGCCTTTTCTAGGGATTTCTGTAGAGCAAAACCATGAGGTGAGGCAGGTGTAATGTGGGAAACATGGGAACTTGCAAGATGAATATGAGTGTGCCACTCTTTTGGTAAGAGCTGTGGTGATTTAAACAAGTAATAATTGTTTAAAAGGGTATCATGAAGATTTTAGCATTGCTTTTAATACCTAGTGAAAACTGGCTTGGAAAATGGTCAGGAACCAAGACAGAAAAGCCCTGCAAGAGTAGTTGGGACTGGGGTTGGGGAGTTGCTTGGTAGTAATGGATTCTGTAGTATGTACTATTAGCATCATGGACACTGGTCCCTGCTCCTGCTGCTTTCTGTGAAAATGATTGTTTCTGGAGAGTTGTTCTCTCTACCATTCTTCTTTGTGGTATTAGTTTCTGATTTAGAGTTCTTAGTGGTTGTCTTGTCTTCGTGGCTGAGTTTAGGCCACTGTCTGTGACCCAGCTGCAAGGGAAATTGAAAAGGTGATAATTTGACCTTTTTGGCTTTAAGGTAAAAGACAGGTTTTATTCTCCACAGATATTCATCCAGTGGGGAAGTAAATATAAATGCAGAAAAGGGGATATAAGTAAATTCCAAGAATTTAAACAAGACAAACAGATGGATTCATCGTACTAACAGATACTTGTTTACTAGTTTTTTTTGTGTGTTTGTCTTTCTGAGACAGAGTTGCCCTATGCAGTTCATGTTGGCGTTGAGCTCACTTTGTATCCCATATTGATCTTGAACTTGTAATGATCCTCTTGCCTCAGCATTCTGAGTGCTGGCATTACAGGTGTGTGCCAACACACTGGGCTTGGTCTATTATTATTATTATTATTTTTAATGTATTTGAATTGTGGGACTGTCCTGCTTCAAGGTTGTATATGGTGAGATTTTTGGACTTATGTGCAAACATGAGG